ATTGGTGCGGTGGATTTTGTTACTTCAAGAATTTGATATCACAATTAAAGACAAGAAAGGCATTGAAAATGTTGTCGCAGATCATTTGTCAAGATTGACAACAAATTTAAAATCTGGCATCACACCAATTGATGACTACTTTTCTGATGAATCTTTACTTTCTATCTCTACATTGCCTTGGTTTGCTAATATTGTTAATTTTCTTATTTTAGGACAATTGTTATCCAAGATAAAAGAAAGTTTTTGAACGCAATAAATCACAAGATAAAAGAAAGTTTTTGAACGAAATAAATTACTTTTATTGGGATGATCCTTATTTATTCAATCTTTTTTATTGGGATGACCTATATTTATTCAAATATTGTTCTAATCAAATATTTCAAAGATGCATTCCCAACAATAAGGTAAGTAGTGTCATTAAATTTTATTATTCTAAGGCATGTGAGGGTTATTTCTCATCAAAAAAGACAACTGCAAAAATCTTATAAAGTGGATTTTATTGGTCCACCATGTTTAAGGACTCACATGTATTCTGCAAAACTTGTTAAAATTGTCAAAGGTTGAGATCTATTTTAAAACGTCATATGATACCTTTAAATTCTATTATTGTAATTGAGATCTTTGACTATTAAAATATATATTTTATGGTTCATTTCTTTTATCATTTGATTTTTTATATATATTAGTTACAATAAATTATGTTTTAAAATTTATTTTAAAATGAATAGATATAATTTCAAATTAAAATAATGATCACATGCTCTCCTTATTGTTGCTTGCAGTCCTGACATAGTGTAATGGCCTTTTCTCGTTACTTTCCAAGTTTATTTCTTTTTTTGTTGGTTTTCAGGCCATAATCATGGCATTACCAAATTAGAGCATTGGATTATGAGATATATTGTGTTCTTGGATTAATGTCATGTCCAGTGGATGTCGAAATAGCACACACTAATGGCATGTTTGCCTGCAACGTGAGATCTGTTGTGCTGCGTCAAGGCTTTTACTCCACTGTTTCACGCCAGCTCTTCCAGTTTAATGTCTTTCCTTTTTTAAAAAATTTTCTTTTGATTTTTTAAACTCTTACTGAGACAGGGTAGACTGATACACTCTTACCTGTGAGAAGCAGAACTTCAACCTTGGTTAGGACTTCTGCAGATTACTTCATCATTGTGCTTGCAACTGTTTCTTCCCAGGTTATTTTTATTTTATTTTTTCGCCATTTGATTCTTATTTTGATGCGCTTTCTGAAAGAGAGAATCATCACAAGCTGTTTAATCTACAGCTTGGTTGCTCCGACGCTGCATTAATGTTGATTCCTCTTGCTTTGCTGTTTCATTTGTAGATTGTTTCTCCAGTCGAGTTCCTTCATTTTTTTATTTCCCTACTATTTTTTTGCCACTTACTGAGAGAGAACATACTAATACCCTTTGATCTGCGGCTTGAGAACTTCAGCCTTTGGCCAAGACTTCCGTTGCTTCATATGCGACTGTTTTTTACAGCTTCACTTCTAATTTTTTTTACCAACTCAAATGTTTTTCTTTGCTGCGCTGTCTGAAAGAAAGGTGCCTAACAGGCTGTTAACCTGAGGAGCTCCTCCACTTGGTCGGGATCCCTACCTTCCGCTATGTCTGTTTATCCAAGTTTGTTTCTGTTCTTATCTTCCTGCTCATCTCTTTGGTTTTCATTATTGGGGGGCAGTAATCCAATTCTTTAGCATCCCTTAATTTTCTTTGCTGTCTTCTGACTCTGATTGATTTTCTTCTCCTGCAAATTGGAGTCCCTTTTCCTGAACAGGTCTGCTTGCATCTTTTTTTTTTTTTTTTTCCAGTTTGTTGTCATTCGTCTTTCTCCAGGTTGTTTTGCCTTTTCCCTTGGCGTAGTTGTTCTTTTTTCCTGTCTTGTGCTTCGTTACTTTTTTCCGATCCTTGAAATCTTGAATCTCTTTATTGTTGCCTCTCTTGCTTTGAATAGTTTTACAAGGATTTCAAGGCTTAGAATAAGTTTTCATACTTATAAAAGTTGAGGGAGCCTTTTTGTTCTTTTCTGGTTGGAATGCATGCTTTCTCGAATGATTATGGTGTGTTACAACACTCATAGTTTTAAGTTTTATATGGCCTCAAATGCAAGCTTGGACTGAGAAAGCTTATCTCATGTGAAGCTTTCTTAGGAGGCAGATGATAGGTTTAGTTAAGTGTTCTAATTAGTTTGGACTGTCTTCACATGATGCACACAAGGTGTTTGACAAGGATTTTGAGAGAGATGCGTTTATTTTCAAGCTGTTCTTTGGATTTTATTATTGCTGTATGTTGAGCTTTTAAGTCCTTTTTTTGGATTATTGATGCTCTTAAAGAAAGACATGCTAATTAAATGATGTTTGGGTGACTGGTGGATGAAAGAGGTTATGATAAGTGTTGTCTTTATGTTTGTGCATTTCATGTTTTTATAGATTTCATCCTTGGCTTATAGATGCTATTAATTATGTCTAATCAATTATTTCTTCTAAATGATCATGAGAATAATATAAGATTATATGTATTGAAGAGTTTCTCATTTGCAAGAAGAAGGATTTAGACCCGGAGCAATACCTCAATAAAGGCCAGCAAGTCACTTGCTGTGTGACCTTGGAATGTAAGTGCAAATCTTTAAAATTTTCTCTTTGATTCTTTATTTATATTATTTTCCTTCATATTCTGATGGTTATTCATTCATTGTTAATTGTGTTAATTAATGGTGTTTGATCGTAATTTAACTATTGTTATTAGGGGGTTTTGAGGTGTTTACAGATTTTTTTGGGATATGAAGGTGAATGGAATACTAAGCTTTCCTTTGATCAAAGTTCCCAAGAACTTCATGTATAAATCTAGGAGCTAGGAACCTTAGGCAAGATCTTTGCAGCCCGGAGGACTATAGTTTTGCTGCCATCATTTCACCTCTTCATGATCTGTTGCTTTACCTACCTTCCACGACCCGTTAGCTTTACACAATTTTGCCCGCTGTTTAGTTAACTAATTGTGTTTTTAACATGGTGGAATCTTTCTTTTGTAGGAGAGCGCCTGACCACCAAGCACAACCGTGAAAGATGAGCTGCTAAATTTTTTATTTTCCTTTAGCAGCAAGCAAAAAACTGTGTTTTTATGTGATCGTTTTTAAATATTTGCTTCTTGGCTTGAAATCATGGTTGAACCAACCTAAAGCTGCTGTGTTATATTTATAATGCTTCCTACAAAAAATGCTACTGAATTTTTGTACGAGTCTTCAAACGGAATGGGATTAAAGTATATATTATTATAAGATTAAGTTTTCGAAGCCTATTATGTAGTATAGCTTTGCTTCATTAACAAATCATGAAGAAAAGTTCAAGTAATGCTAAAGTCCCATTGTTTTAGTTAATGTTTTATTTGATGTATGAGATTAAAGTACCTTAGGGATGTAGACTTCTTTGCTAGGAAATTGCATATCTCTTGCTTATAAAGTAATTGATGATCAATTAAATAAGCTGATGGCATGCTTTCCAAAACCTTCGAGTTGCGAGTTGTTCTAAATGTACAATGAAGTTCCTTATAACTTCCACACGAACATTAATGCAATCTCAATACAACATTGATTTGATGTATCCTCTCTCATATTTAGATAATATAATGATAATAGATGGAATGATACTTGGGGTGTTTTATTTTTTTTAAATATGATAAATAAATCAAATATTTTCTGTTGATAGGATTGGGGTCTCTCCATTAGATTTCTTCCAATATGTACAAATTTTAAATTGAATTATTATCATATTTGACTATTTTAAGATTTAAAAATTTTAAATTGAAAAACTCAATTTTTTTTAGTTTGATTTGGGTTTAGAACTGGTTTTTGAGGGATCTTTTGCGCTGATTTAGTGATTATAAAGGTGGAGTTTCAATGATGATGATAACGAAAGGCTTTCTAATCCCCGCACATCATAGTTCATGAATTAAAATCAAAATAGAAAAAAAAAAAACAATATTAGAGTTGCTAATCCAATACGTAGATAGTCTAGGGGGTTCTTTATATTTATTTTTTAGCAATATTAAGCACATGAGATTTCAATGAAAACAGTGGATGAAAGGTAACAAAAGGAGTCTATAAATAGTTTTACATAAGAATAAATGTTCTCCATCTTAATGATCACTAATTCAAAAGTGTGTTCTTACAAAGTCATCATGTTTTTATAGCCAATTATAGACTATTAAAATAAATAAATAAATAAATATATATATATATATATATATATATATATATATATTCATAAGATTGCCAATAGAATTACATATGATACAAGATTAATTCACTATTTAAGCTCTCACAAGTTCCATCAAAATATATGGATTACAAATATGATATTGTTTTTAATTTGTTGCATAAAGTCCTAGAATAAAGATTGAAATACAAATAAAATATGACTCGTGAATTAAGCTTTCACGAGTTCTATCAAATTAATTGGTTTACATACAGACGACTCTTTTAAGCAACGACTTACCATTATGGAATTCATTACTTCGGTAGGATGGATTGCATCAAAAAAAGCATATTGGTTTCTGTTGATGCACACTTCTCCATCTTTACAAACTGGGATGTGCTTCGTAGAATCAACGGGGCAACAAGAATGGGTTATGTCTGTTATTCCTGCAAGGCATTTACAAGAAAATTAATGTCTAACTAAGAGGTCTATGAAAATACTGAACAACATGAATTAATCATTGCAACAACTAGTAACACTTACCATATGAAGCAGGTTCGGAAAACACATCTTCAAACACCTTGTAGACATCTAAGAGGACAAATCTAGAACCCGAAAGAGTGGATTCGAGGTCTTTTAGCATCCGAGGAAGGTAGCTGTTAAATTCAGAAGCTAGTTTGTTCAGTCGTTCTACACATCGTGTTGTGGGTTTCTCTTGAGATATTGAGAATGGTCTGCATCCTAGAGGAAGGGAATTGCTCACTAGGAATTTGCGTCCACCATGATCGTAAAGTCTCTATATATTCAATTAAAGAAATCATTTAGTTTATGTTAAGATAATTAACTTTGCATTATCAAAATTTGGTTGGTTAATATGATATTTACCTGTAATCGTGTGGCTAATGGTTCGGCAAGATATTTTCCCATGTCAAGAGAACCATTATACGACAATCTTTTGTTGAGGTCCATGTCATTTTGTCCTATATTGATGAATATAAGAGATTTTGACAAGTCATCAAGATTTTTTAAATTCTTCAAGGAACTCTTAAACAATTCAATTTGTTCGTCCAAATCCAAGCATTTGACCTAAACATGATTTAAAAAATAAGTATTAGCAAGTAATAAATTAATTAGGTACCAAACTGACTCCATGAGCTTTCCTTGTGCATGCATGTATGTGTCCCCAACTTGACCATCAAAAAATAAAGTTCAAGGTAAGGAGATAAAATACTCACATATGTGTATTTTTTTGTTTCGGGAAGAATACCACAACCAGAAGATGCATAATTGGCCCCGAATTGAATGCTTTCCGATTTCTTCAAACTCAAAAAAGGAGGAAGAAATGGTAATCCAAAAGTTTGAGCTGCAATTAATGTTAACATTCCAAAGATAAATAATAGATCGATGATAGGAAATCATAATACCCTTTTATTAAATAATTTCTAGTCTAAAGAAAATTAATGGACCGTTCATCTTCATGCAATTTAAACCTGCATTTTAGATGTAAAATAATTGATATTCCTTGATCACTTATAAACTCTTAGGCAAGGTTTCCTGTTAATTGTATAATTTTGATCACCTTTAACATTTTATTGCTGTGCCTTCCTTTAAAATTCTAGAATTTAATTTGGTGTTTGTATGAAATATGGTGAAAAACTAAATAAAATTTTCAAAAACACACTAAATTTTGAGAAAAAAAAAAGGCATGACATCTAGAACGCATTATAGAATTTTCATACCATAATATTCTATCAAAATCGTGGGGTTTGTCTGTGTTCTTATTCTTACCAATAAAATCTGCCTTAGTTTTTCCATTGGAGGCTCTGCTCTGATTATCTACTTTAAAATCCACACAATATGCAGAAGATGGATTTGGATTACCCATATATTTTCCATTTCCACTATCCACCCAAGAGTCTCCGAACACGAATAGAGCGGGAATAGAAATATCAGATTTGAAGGGGCCAAGATCAGATGCAACGTGGGAGTCATTCACTAGAAGGAAAAGACATAAAAGAAAAGAGATGTAGGACGCCCAATTTATAGAATTCATTGTTTTGATCATGAAGCTAATCAAATTAATGGGAAACACAACGATAATGAAGCAACAAGTTTCTTATCAGGCTTTGAGCGGAGGATGCTTATTTATATTCCATTTGAAACTGCCACCAGGAGCATAACCCAATGGTGGAGGCAAAATTAGCTGTGAACTAGCGAGCTGGGAAGTTTGTTTGTTTATTTATGTACTAAAAGAAGAGCAAAATCCAGCCATGCTTGCAACAACTGTAGAGATATGCACGCAAGAGTGTTGAGAGAGGACACACACACACGGTGTATGTTAATAATTTACAGCTAATTAAAATTTAATGATGGTTATAGTACAAACCAACCTTAATTTGGATAATATTTTCCAGCAATTTCTTTGCTCAAAATAGGCAACAATACTATCTGTTTTCCTCCTAGCAGTTCCAATTTTCAAAGGAAATACTAAAAATATTAATGTTATGTTTAACTTCGCAAAAGCATGATGTTAATTTAGAGTTGGCTAATCAAATCTATGTGATGCCAATTATAATCGGTGAATGTGTAGAATAAAAAATACCTGCTTGACGATCAATAATTGAGTCAAGTTTTACATGTAATGTACCTCTACTTTCTGCATTAGTCATTTTACAATGAGAATTATATTTAATTGCAACCAAAAAAATTTATGGTATTATTTATTCTCGTTATAATATTGAATTATTCTTTGAATAACTATCTTAGTTTAAAATTTAAATTATTAAATTGCATAATGTTATATACATAATACGTATAAGCTTAAATGATCATTGAATGGTATCAATAATCAGATTATAATGTGTAAAAAGTCTATCATATTATTCTTATTAAATCTGTGAACGTTTTCATGATATTGATTTCTTAATTAATATAGAATATTTTCTTATTAACTCATTAATTCAAATAAAAATAAGAAAAATAATGTGAATTTCTTATCATATTAAGGTTATGTTTGTTTTTTAAAAAGTTATTTCTAGAAAATAACTTTTCAAACTTTTCTATATTTGTTTGTTATTAGAAAAATTGATCAATGACAAATACTTTCTAGTTAAAGAAAAATTTAGCTTGATTTACATGAAAGTGTTCTCCTAAAATATTTAGGGGGAAAACACTTTTTGAAAGTTATGAAAAATTTAGAAATGTCATATTATTTACTGATTATATCAAATTTGGTCCTCAAACTTTTGATTGCTATATATATTTTGTTTCGAATATTTATTTTTCAATTTTATCTCTTAAAATTTAATTTTTATATTAACTTTGGTCCTCATTTTTATAATTGTTATTTTCTTTTTTCATATCATTTTTTTATTGAAATTTTTTATCTATAAAATTTGATCCTCATTCTTTTAATTGTTACTTATTTTATTTAAAATAATTTATGAAATATTAATTATTATTATTTTAATTTCTTCATCTTTTATTTTTTTAGATTTAATCTTATTATTTTGATTATTATTTATTTTATTTGAGATAATTTATGAAATTATTTTTTTTTCAATTTCATTCTCATTCAACTTTTTAATTTGTAAGATTTGTTCCTCATTATTTTAATAAAATTGAGAAAAATTAAACATTAATAAACTATTTTCTAACTTATTTTCCATAACATAACCAAACACTAGAAAATATTTTTCAATTGATTTTTCATTACAATACCAAACATCAGAAAATAATTCACTTTTCTGGAATTAACTTTTTTGAAATTCACTTTCTAAGAGGAAACTACTTTTCAGCAAACAAACGGGGTCTAACTAAAAAACTAAAATATCTAGGATTTATTACAAAGTTTTACTGTTCATCATAAAATATTAAAGCTCCATAACAAACTCTATTTTTTTTAATTATTTTTTTCTATTGATTTTCAAAAATTTTGAGTACTTTTACTTTTCTGCCTCACTTACCTAGCATCAACAACCCCCTACTTATGTGTTTGGGAATATAGTACAAACCATTTTCTCTTAAATTTTGAATTTTTTTTATTTCTTTTCTTAAAATAAAACAAAATATATGTTTTTGAATAATTTTGATTTGCTAATATCAAAAATATTTTATTTTTATTTTGATGCATTTCTAAGCGAAAAACACTTTGAACCGCCACCGCTATCACAATCTTAAACATATCTTAATAAGCAACAAATACTTAGTTTAGCCAAAAGAATTTTTTTTAAAAAAAGATCAAAGTGTTAAACAAAGCATTGGAAACTAAAGTAACATACAACTCAAATTAAAAAAAGACTAGTATTTTGGCACGTGCTCTAGCGGAGAGCATGTTACCAATTAAAAAAATATTAAAAGATATTAAAAGTATGAAGAATTTTTTAACATTGTTATTAAACCTGATCAAATTGGTTAATTTGGAAACCTCTCAACTCAAGTATTTGCCTAACTCAAGTTTTTAATTAAACCATGTGACAGCTACCTTGATTTAAAACAATCGATTTTATAGATCAAAATGTAACTTTAATGATTGATAAAAACATGACTTAATTTTTAAAAAAACTTCAAGATAATGATTTTTTTAATTATTGAGACAATGACATATTAGATCGATCTCATCCTTCCTCCTACCCCTCACAACCCAAGTCATGGACTCTATTGAGTTTAATAAAGTTTTTAATGAATTTTTTTAATTATATAATAAAAATAAACGCTTATAAAATAGAACACCGACTTAAAAATAGATATTTATTTGAGACCATTATCTTTAAACAAAAAAAATCAATAATACAGTCTATTTTCCAACCAATCCAATATTATATGATAAAACAAAAAAATTAAAACAAAAAAACAAAAAAAACAACCTATTGATGGCCAAACTCATCAAACTTATGAATCAGGTAAGTCAGGCTTGTACACTAAACTTGTAAATTGAGTTATGGACTCTAGTAAAATTATATTTTGTATTTTTTCAAAACTATTTTTTATTTAACTATATGATAATAAAAATAAATTCTTGCAAAATCGAACACCAATTCAATACAGATATTTTTTTTTAGATTGCAATAACCTCATAAAAGGCGAAACAAAACCAATTATAAAACTAAATTCCTAATTAACCCAGTATTTAAGGATGGCAAAAAACTAATTTCAAAAAGTTAAACTTATCAAACCCACGAACCATGTCAATTAGCTAAACCTGTGAATAAATCCACGAACTTTATAAAGTTTAATAACATAATTTTTTTCTGAAACTATTTTTTTAACTATATAAGAAAAAAATAGATGATAAAAAAGTCAAGTTCAATAAATAAAAAAGGCACACCACCAAACTAGTAATTCAAGGCATCCCATGTTACCCTAACAAATCCATAAATCATGCTAACCTTATAGAAAAATAAAATAAATTATAAAGTCCTCTCTTTTCTAAGCTTAACGCCCTCTTTGTCTTCTTAATTTCAGTAGTTAAACTTATCAATCAATCCCTTGATTTATGTGATATGCCTGCTGATTAGTACTTAAAAGTGTTTTTTTATCAAGGTTTTATATAATCATTTTGCACTTAAAGTATTAATAACTCCTTAAGTAAAGCATGTTTTATAATAACATATCTAATAATATAATATTCCTTTAATTTATGGTAATGTTCATTGATTAGTACTTAAAAGTGCATTATCATTAAGGATTTATGTCATCATATTGCGCCTAAAGTATCATTAAATTCCCTAACAAAAGCATGTTTTATATTAGCAAGTCTAAAAATATAATATACCTTTAATTCATGATAAATGTTCATCCTAAATGCAGGTCTATCACATAAATAAAATGATTGATTGATGAGTTTAAGGATTGAAATTGAAAGGATAAAAAGAAGGCCAAATTTAGCAAAGTGTTGCTGGTGCATTCCAAATTCAAACACCGTTCGGTAATTTGATCATATCTAGAGCTGTATATCATATCTAGAGCTGTAGATATCAGATTTAGGTCCATTTTATATCGATGGAAAGGTAAGACATAGGCCTACAACTTTTATATGGACTCAAAGACTCAGTTCTGCCGTTTTCAAGCTCAAATCTTAGCAACAACGAAGACGTCGGAAGCTGTCCTGCAGCTCAAACACTATTCGGTTTTTGGCTCATATCTTGAGTTTTAGAAGTCCAAATGAGCTCTGGTTTTTTTTGTTGAAAAGTTGAGACAATTTCCCATAACTTCCATAATTCAGTTGGCTATAATTCTAATGTGAGCAATGACGTTTTGGCCAGCCAACAATATCAATAATCAGCCCACAATATCAAAAAACCAGCAGCCATTAATGTCAAAAACCAGCCACCAAATCAATGGATGCCCACCAATTCTTCAATCAATCAATAGTTTTGAAACTTAGCCTATAAAAGGAGGCATTATCCATGTATTTAGTCATATTAATTTTGAGATCAAAGTTATCTTCTTGCTTTCTCTCTATATCTTTGTAATGTTCAAGTTTTCTTTCATGTTATAGTAATCTCTTGTTTATGCTCTTTCATTTCCTTTCCTATACTTAGTTAGCTTCTATTATGTTTATGTTCTTATATTGCTTATTTATGTTTTTCTCCTTCTTAATGTTTAGCTAAGTTAATTATGTCAAGGTGAAAAGGTTTCTCTAATGGTGTTAGAATAGGTATAATATAAACTCAACATGAGCTTTAAATGTTTATATCCAAGAAAGATTGTTATTAACATGTTTTATCTTTTTATCTTACTAATTCTTAATACCTTGCTTATTAAATGGTTAATTTAGATTTGTGTTGTATAATATTTGGTACATCAAATGCTTGATCCTTCATAGTTTTCGGCCGACATCGTTATTATGATAGGAACTTGATTTGTTGTTAACATAAACTAGCAACATGAATGCTTGATGATATTTATAAGTATGGTGATTAGTACTTAAAAGTGCATTTTTATCATGGTTTTATATCATCATTTTGCACTTGAAGTATCAATAACTCCTTAACTAAAATATGTTTTATAATAATATATCTAATAATATAAGATACCTTTAATTTGTGGTAAATGTCTATTTTTAATGCAGGCCTATCACATAAATGAAAGGATTGATTGATGACTTGAAGAACTTAAATTGCAAGGATAAAGAGATGGTCAAACTTAGAGAAGAGATGTCGGTGCAATCCAAACCAGAACACTGTTCGGTAATTGGGTCATATCTGGAGCTACAGATCTCAGATTTAGGTCCAATTTATATGGATGGAAAGGTAAGACATAGGCCTACAACTTTCATATGGAGCCCAAGATCTAAAAAGGCCATTATCAAGTCCAAATTGTAGCAACAACAAAGAAGCCCGAATCTGTCTTCCAGCCCGAGCACTGTTCGGTATTTTGGCCATATCTGGAGTTCTAGAAGTCCAAATGAGCTGAATTTTTTACACAAGAAAGCTGAGACAATTGCCTACAACTTTCATGTTTGCACCTGGCTCCAGTTTTGACGTTATCAATGACGTTTTGGGCAGACAAGAGAAGATAAGGATTGTCACCAAGTCAAAAGTTGGTCACCCACTTATCAATTAGTCATCAAATCAATAGTTCAGTTGGCCACCCACTTATCGATTAGTCATCAAATCAATAGTTCCCAATTTTGGCCTATAAAAGGAGGCATTTGCCATGCATTTAG